GTCGGTGGGAGGACCCCGCCGACCGCGGCCAAGAATGAGCCATGATAGGTCGCCGAGGTCAAATTTTTCCATGCGAATTGCGCGTCAGTTCGCACCCTCAGGAGGTCCGCCGGTCTCTCAACTAGGTGAATTACCCTCCTCTCGATCCTTCATTCTAATCGTGGAATTCCTCCTTTAAGTGGAATGTGATGAAGTGATGGCGCTAAGGGGGGGAGGGGGGAGGTGCAAAAAAGCACTAACCAGGAAAGGCATTCAACTTCCCATGGAACTTTGAATTGAGACCCAGATATATCGATAGAGCTTCAAACGCTGATTACAAATATGGAAACTAAAACTGCAAAATGAACCTGCCAAGGAAGTTGTGAGCAGTCAAAGTTGGCTGGAAGTAAAGCATTACACTATTGACCGTGCTTTCAAACTCGTTGTGGAGTAGTGATAGTGCTCTCGAAATGTGCATTCCAACGGGGTGACCTTTTGGGTAAGAGCGAGGGCACTACCACTACTCCACGACGATTCTGAAAGCCTGGGATCCAGCACGGTTCATATGCAACGCTTTACTTTAGCCAACTTTGACTGCTCACAACTTCCTTGGCAGGTTCATTTTGCAGTTTTAGTTTCCATATTTGTAATCAGCGTTTGAAGCTCTATCGATATATCTGGGTCTCAATTCAAAGTTCCATGGGAAGTTGAATGCCTTCCCTGGTAAGGACCGCGATTTGGAACTAAGCTTGAAACATAGCTGAGGAAAAGAACGCCAGAGAAAAAAGAGATTGCTCTCATTCTTTCAGGATCCCTTCCGCTCAGTGAGGCCTGGTCCCAAGTGCTATAAATGGCTCATTCACTTAAATGCACCACCCCTTCCTCTCCCGCCCCCACACCGCCCCAAAGACATGAGCGCCAAGGCGACGTTCTTTCAACCCTCAAGAAGAACACAACGAGTTAAACTTTTTTGAGTGGACTAATTTCTAGCACAGTCATTTGCAGAAACCTCATCTTCTTGAATTTTTATGCAGCTCACATTTACAAATTTCAAAGGGGCACTGGAGCAATAAATCGTACTCTCGTTGACTTTTGAGCTGCTTTTCTGCAACTCTCCTTCTAGGACATTTCTCTGTATTCGGTATTCGTTTCAGAAGGATGGGACGACCTCTATGTTATCGCTGCGTAACGCCAATACTACGGGCGCCAAACGTTCTACAGCTGGCGCATCAGCAAGGTTTTCAGTTTCTCATAATGTTTCCAACTACTTTTGTCTACTCAAATCCACAGTTCATAGAAGGAAGTATCTGTCTAGTGGAACGTTACTTCATGCGTTGTTGCAAAAGCCCTGTGCTATCGCAGGATGCGGGGCATTGTTGTGACAGCGCACTTGAAACGACGTTAAAGATTTTCTTTCTGTCGAAAGTGGGACTAAACCTTGGCGGGGACGAGATACTCTGAACTGCATTGGCAGTTTTCGCTTTCTCCTAACTTCCTGCCCCAACCCCCTCCTAGGTTTGCCGTAGAGGACGCCATTTCATATTGTTCGGCATTTTCAGAAGAAATTTGCTACGAGACCGTCAGCGAGGCGAAATCGACG